AAAAGAAAAAATATATATAAAATTATTACGTATCAGATTGATAAAAATACATTTATATAACTTTGATACATAAATATAGTATTGATGCAAACTAAATATAAATTCTGGTATAATAATTATTATATATATATGTTTATTGTTTTCTATACTTTAATACCTAGAAAAAGGAAATCAAAGAAGATTCAGCATTTTTGGGTATAAAACTCAAAAAAAAATCTTTTCGCAGATTCCCTTAATAGCACCGTTTGGCGTATATCTATGTCTATATAAAAAGTTTTTTTTTTTTACTTTTATTTTTTTTTTTTACTTTTTTTTTTTTTTTTTAACAAACTTTAGAATTTTTAGAATATGCAGCTTTGCTTGCAGTTTAAACGACGATATTCCATTTATGTCTTTTAATTTTTGATTTTTCAAGTTTTTCCATATTTTAGGACCCTGTTACATAATTGAAAATTCAGAACCCCGGGTTTTAGTTTTTTTAATATAATAGTTATGGAAGCTATTTGATCGTAGATTATAACTTTGAGAAAATGATGACGAGAATATGTCTAAAAAAGAATTTGGTAGCATATTATTTTTATATTTGAACATAAAAATAAGAATCTGATATAAATTAAGTTTTTCCAAGTTTAAGACTTTCATATTTGTCATTGCATTGGAAGGATTGTCCATTCTACCTAGATAATGAATTGCTTTACAAGCATGGTTTTGCAAGCCTTGTATTTTGATTAATTTTGTTTTGTGTATATTAGCCCACACTATATTAGCATATGTGAGATGACTGTGAATTAGACTAAAGTAAAGTTTTTTTCTTGAACAGAAATCAAGAAACGGGCGACATTTATATAAAATACCTATTGCACATGATACTTTTGTTTCAATGTGTCCAATATGATTTCCCCATGATAAATTTTCATCAATATGAACACCAAGAAACTTTGCATATTTTTCTCGTTTTATTGTTATGTTGTTAATGAGCAATTCTGGAATTTTTAACGGTAGAGACATTGATTGACCTGTTTAATGAAATAAGATGTAGTTGGTTTTTTCACAGTTTAAGAATAGTTTATTTGCTCTAAACCATAAATTAAAGTTTTCCAGTTCAGTATTCATTGTTTCGAACACCGATTTTAAATTACTATGATTATAAAATAAAGTTGTGTCATCAGCATACATTATTGAAGATACTATAGATGATGCTTTATGCATATCATTGATGTAAATTAAAAACAATAACGGTCCTAAACCTTCTTGATATTGAGTGTGGGGTCCTTGAGGAACCCCACACTCAATATCAAGAACAAAAAATATCAACAGCTTTAACCAAGCTGGATTTAAAAAAGACCTTGCTCTGCAAAACAGGCCTATGTTCCTTGAGATTGTATTTTTGAAATATTGCATATCTCTCCACGTCACATTTTCATCAAGAAGCATTTCGAAAAATTTTAAAAAGCACCTCAGAAAATTAAAAAAAAAAAAATTTCAAAAAAGGTTTCTCTTTTTATGTCCTAATTGGCAATACAAAGTTTTGAAAGTTTTTAGAGAATTTATCTCGGTCATGAAAACAATAATTAAAAAGAATATTTCATTTTGGATACATTTTGAGATAATTTGTTTGCATTAAACTATTCAATAAGATTTAGTAGCTCTTTGTTTACTGAATATATAGATCATTATGTGCATAAAGTAGATTTGTGTCATCTGCAAATAAAACTGATTCTAATTCAATACAAATAAAACTGAATCTAATTCAATACTTAAGTCATTAATAAAAATGAGAAGTAGGAGTGGTCCCAATATAGATCCCTGAAGAACCCCACATGTTATGTTCATATTGGTCGCTTTACCTTCATTATAAAAATGTATTGTTTTCTATTTGACAAATAGCTTTTAAACCACGCAATATTAATATGTTTAATACAATAGTTTTCTAATTTTGCTAATAAAATGTAATGATCGACAGTGTCAAAAGCCCTATTGAGATCAATAAATAAACCCAGGGCCGGCGCGAGTAGGTGTCACGTGGGGTGGGGGGTACCATTGCAACTTTTGCCGACACAAAAAAAAAGGTCTTTACAAAAACGTTTTTTTTAACCCGGCCTTATATGTGTTCTTAATATGTTTTATATAATCAAAGAGGTTTTTACTTTATATTAGTTCTTAAAACTATTTTTAAACGACCGTGGAAGGTAGATCTTTTTTCCAGAATATATATATATAATTGATTTTTCCAGAATATTTATATAATATAATTTATTGTGCTCCAAGTTTTTTGTATATCATTTTGTATTTTAGTAATTGGCTACTAATAGTAGACATGATATCTAATAGTAGCCATATGTCATATCCGTTGAAGCTAATACTGGCCATAAACCAATATCATTTGCAAATCCAAGCATAGATGCATGTTCATGTTTAATTGTTACAGCTTTTGCTATCATAGTTACTGTTGCTTCCTGTTGCTCATATGTTTCTTGCAATAGAAACTCCTCAACTGGTGGTAGTATAGCTGAAATTCCAGGTAGTGACTTTGAAGAATCTAAATCTCCATCTCGTTTACTAAAAAAGGCACTAATTTTTCTTGATTTTGCAAAACCTTCCTGTGCTTTTTTTCTTGAGCTGACTTACACTTTGAAGATCCACTTTCATAATTGCGAAAAGATTTATATATATATATATATATATATATATATATATATATATATATATATATATATATATATATATATATATATATATATATATATATATATATATATATATATATATATATATATATATATATTAGGGATATGACAATTTCATAACCCTATATGTCCTTTCTGACTCTATCTCTAAACCTTATATGACTTTCAAAGCCGAAGTCTTTTTTTGAGACTCTGTATCACTGTTTAAAATGTTGATGATCAGCTCATGCTAAAGCTGTTCCTAATTGATATTTGAAAATAAATGCTATCCAACAGAAGTTTGACCCAAATGTTCAACTTTTTATATGTTATGTTTTATATGTTATTTTATATGTTATATATTTTATATGTTATATATTTTTATAAGATGATAACTTATAAAAGTTATTAAATGCGTACTAATTTACTAGTTTCTTTGAGCCACAGTACACATTTCACTTTATTCAAAGATTAGATCTTTTTTGACCTTATATAACTTGAAAAGTAAAAAAAAAATTTGATAAAATAAGTTTAACATTTAATATAAACAAAACCATTTATACTTAAAAAAAGATTTTTCAAAAATTTAAACCAATTTTTTCTAAAATGACACAAATTTCAACTTAAACCACTATTTTCAATAAAACAGATTAACATTTGATACAAACAAAACCATTTACATTGAAACAAATAGACTTTGCAAAAATTTGTTGTTATTTATTTGCTATCATTTTTATTTTTTTCCCTACAAACCGCGCGATATGAATTTGGCTAATTTACCTAATATATGTAAATTAAATATAAGTAATCTCTAAAATACAAAATTTACATAAACTTTATATTAAATATAATAACTTCTACCTCTATTTTTATCGTTACCCTTATTTAAGACATGTCATTGAATTTTATTTTTTTTCATAATTTGTGGGGCCCCCCTTTTGTAGGGGTCCCGGGCTAGCGCCCCGGTTGCCCCCCCCCCTCCCTTTAATCCGGCTTTGGCTACTATAGTGAAACTTTTTTGAGCGCTTTACAATCGTAACAAAAAGACGATTATAGTTTTTATAGTTTGTTTCATTTTTAAAATTTCTTTTTTTAATGAACTTTCAAACAATTGTTGCTTTTTCTTCGAAGAATTTATGATTCCAGGTGTTATCCAGGGATTTTGTAAAGTTTTTGTTTCAATAAATTTAGTTGTTATTGGGAATGTTTTATTGTAGTGACATTCAAATATATGATAAAGCTTCATTAACATTTTTTGTATTCAAAACAAAAAATAAGAGAAGCGTCCATAATTATTCGTTTTTTTAGTTTTTACCTTTTTAGAAAGTTGATTTAACGATTTTTGTGTTGTTATAAAAACCGGAAAATGGTCAGATATGTCTGTTATGAACAATCCAGTTTTAATTTTTATGGTTTTAAAACCATTAATTATAATTTGATCAATTAAAGTAGCAGTTTTTTTTGTAATTCGAGTAGGATTAAGGTGAGTTTCCACTCATCCGTTTTTTCACGGGAACGGAAAAAATAATCACGTGGGCATGCGTATTATAAGTTTTAATTTGTTCGAAGTAAAACTACGCATGTTCACGTAATTATTTTTCCCTTTCCTATCCCGTTCCCGTAAAAAACGGATGAGTGGAAACTGACCTTTATGGTTGGATTGAAACATAATATTAAAAAAAGTTCTGGCGTTTTTGTTTTTGTCGTATTCGAGCAAATCTAAATTCAGATCGCATATAAAGTAAACGCATTAGCTGCATAATTTTTTGCTTATAATTAGGCTTTTAATTTGTTTGATAAATGCTTTTATTACCAATATATACGTGTGCAACTACGTTTATGCAGTTTTGTTTATAACTTCAATTGATAATTATTTAAAATCATGCGTAACAGCAAAATATAATTTTCGTAGTTTGAAATCTAAAGATTTGCGGATAAAAAATGCGCAGTCCTCCACCTGCTTTTCAAGGTCTCTAATTTGATGAAAGACTTTTGCTTTAGTTGGCTCAATTGTATTTTATTTCTCTCTATAACTAGTTTTATTTTTATACTAGAACTGAACTACGTAGAACTGAAAAGTCAATAAGTTTTTCTGTTTGACGTTGTTTTTTAATTACTAAACGTACATTAGTCAAATAAAACCATATCAATAGCTTTTTCATTCAGAAAAAAACGCCATTACCTGCGAAACAAGACATTTAAGTTAGAGGTTTAATACCTTTATTTTAGAGATCGGCTCGATTAACGAGCTGAATTTTTGAATCAAAAATTCAAATATTCATCATTAATTTATTCAGCTCATTCACAAGTTTTAGAATGTTGTATTACTTCATTACTGTTTACCTTCAAAACAGAATTTTTTTTTTTGAGTCTATAGAAACTAAAAACGTTTCGAAAAAAGGTTTATTTCAAGAAAACGAAAAGTGTAATACTTGAAAAAACGAACTTGAGAAAATGTTGCATCAAAAAGTTATCTTTGATACTTGGAAAAAAGATTTTATGATTGCTACACAATTTGATCAAGCAAATGAAACAGCAAATGCAATCGCTACTTATAAACTGTATGCGTTATTAATATTATATCGTACACATGCATATTATTAATATTATGTCGTACACATACATGTCGTATTCATTTTGTTGTTACAAAAAACTATAAAAAGTTATTAGAATTTTTTTCAAAAAATCATTTAAAAATCGTTTTTTAAAAACTTTTAATTTTTTTTTTTTTTTAATTTATTTATTATTTTTTTTTTTTGGTTTACATTTGGTAATCGTTGTACAGCCCATAATAAAAATAATAATATAAACTTACAATGACATAAAACATAACAAACAAGGTATCTGAAAGAAGATCGCAAGGATCTTGTCGTCAGAACCTTAAAAAAGCATTTAACAAATATAAGATTAAAAAAAAAAATTAATAAACTTTTACAAAATTGCAAGGCAAACAATCTGTGTCTGAAGAAAGATCAAGAGGATCTTCTCATCAGATTTTTATACAAGAGTAAACCAACATATAAATTAAAAAGTAAAAAGTATAAGAACAATAAATAAAATAAGTAGGAATAAACTTCTATAAAAATAAAACTTCTATAAACAAAAAAAAAATAGACCAAAATATATTTCTAACTTTTACTACTAATAATAACTCAATATTTATATTATCTAATGAAAGAATGAGGTTTTTCAGTATTTTTTTTTTAAGGCAAAAAATAATGGGTACTTCAAAATTAAAATTCCAAAGGTGGCGCTCGATAGGTAATACAAAATTGATTAAAGTTTGTTTTAAAGAAAGGCTCATTTAAAAAGTTATTACTTCTCAATATATATTTACTGACTAAAAACTTTCAATATCAATCTAATTCAAAGTTTGTTAATACCAGTGTTTTTCAGCTGTTAAAAACACCCGTATTAACAGTCTTGGCTGTACTGCCCAGTGGGGGCAACACATTTTTTGATATCTTTTGTACTTGGTGGAAACGCAATTAGTTGTATTACGTACATTTGGATGAATAAAATAAGATTTTGAGTTTTTAATAAAACGTAGACTTTATTAAAAACTCAAAATCTTATTTTATTCATCCAATACTTATTTTCTGCAGCCGTTATACTAATATCGTCGGGAATATCGTGCAAATCCACGTAACTAGATTTGGCTACTATAATTGGAAATTAATAACTTTAATAACAAATATCTATTGTTGACATCACAAAAAACATGAATAAAACTCACTATGCTAAAAAATATAAAGATGAAAAAAAAAATTAAAATATAAAAAACTGTTTATTGCGTATTTCAAAAAAAAAACGCATTAAAAAAAATTTTCTATAGAGAAATTCTTTGTAAAACATTTTTTAAAACTAATAATTTTTATCAATTTTTTCAAAAATACTTTAAGCTCTTCAATCAATAATGCTTGAAGGAATCTAAATTAGCTTGTTTTGTAATTAAGAAAATTTTTTAATTTTCTTTTACTTCAAATTTTTAAAAGAACGGATACAGTATTATGTTATATCAGTATCAGGAATCAGTATTAAAAGTATCAGGAATCAGTATTAAAAGATTGTAACTTTCTAAGTCTGGGTTGTATTGAAAATTCAAAATCCTATTAAGAATCACCCAAAAAACTAACCACGTTCATTTTATTTGCAAACCACATTCATGTGGTTGAGTATATTTTATGAGCTATGGTTTTAATCAGAGGTTGGGAGTCGTAAAAAAAACCCTCTGACTACGACTCCATTCGTTGAAATTTTCAGAGTACTACTTCAACTCCGACTCCAACTCCACAGCAAAGTTTTTGAAAAATTCTTTAAATTCTTAAAAAAATATTACGCGATGAGTCAAAATTTTTTTCGCCAAGTTTATGAAAAGTTCTTTGAGGTTTAGTATGAATATTAAGTTTATTTAAGAATATTTTGTACATGCACGTGCAATTCCGAGAAGATTTAATATTGGAGTCGAAGTCGCGAATTTGTGTCACAACTCCGCAACTCCGACTCCAACTCCACAGCCCTAGTTTTAATTGACTGCATCGTGGTAAAAGAAAAAAAAAAAGACCAAACAACAACTATATATATATATATGCAACAATGATAATAAGTATAGCAATAAGCAAACAACTGAAAATTCAACTAAAGCATCAACAACAAACAATCGGCTCAATTTCGTAGTAACTTTTTTATCTAAGAAAGTTTTAAATTTAATTTTGAGTAGTATGATATAGGATATCAATAAATGCTGTCTCTGCAACAATATTGTCGATATCGGTGTAGTATTTAAATATGTATTGTTTTTTTAGCTGATTTTATGACACAAACACTTTAAACTTGAATGGCATTATAGAAAAAGCTTTTGATGTTTATATTAGACTATACTTGCATTTCTTGAAAAAAGAATTAGTCATAATAGGGGTAAATACTTTTTATGATTATGAACTTTGTCAAGCTAGTCAAAATGCCAAAAAGTCTTACAGTAATATTGACAGGTATGATTTGAAGCAAGTTTTACTTTTTTTCATTATTTTAATGCTAAACTTGGACTAATATAAGTTTTACCATTATCAACTTTAGTGATGGCTGTAATGGATTAATAAAAGTAGGTAAATTAATCTATCAGAATAATTTTTTGATGAAAGGTTTTCAAAATACAATAATAGTTAAAAAAAAAATTATTTTTCAGAATTTTCAAAATGCTATTGGTAAAAAACATCTACTTTTTCAAACTAACGTTTGTTCATACTATATGTAATGCACTCTCTCCAAGTTTTCTTAATTCTACTAGGTAACTCTAACTTCAGTAGAAAAAGGTAGAGGTAACCTCTACCTTTTTCTCCTGAAGCTAAAGTTTCATCTCTACATGCTGATCCTTAAATCATTTGCATTCTCATTGCTTAACATACCCAAACTACCTTAGTATTTTCTGTCAAACCTTATACAATACATTCACTACTATCAGTCTCTGTGTAAAATTATGGCTTCTTTTCTTGTCTTATTAGAGTCGCACCACAGATTCATCTGATCATTATCTTATCTCTTGGTAAGTACAGCAACATATAAGTATATGAATATTGCTAAAATAGGAACAGTGCTTTAACTGGAACACTTGCATTTATTTTGGTGATGAAATTTTTCATGTTTTTACTTTGTAAATAATAAAACATCTTTTCTATGTTTCTATATTTTGAGATATTTTTGAAAGCAAAAATTGCATGTGCATCTTAAATTAAAAATTTTCAGTCTAATTTAATGTTCACACCATATTGATTAAACAGAGTATATTATACTCCTGTGGGTTATACAGTTTTTTGTGTTTAATGCAATAAAATTGAAAATCTAAATAATAACATAAACTTAACTTATATGTTGCTGCAAGCATGATATTGCAGTGATATAACAAAACAACCTAAATTTTAGTAAATTAGAATTATAAAATAATTCTTATTTGATCAGTGAGCTGTTCCAATAAATAAAAGAATGTAAGAAACCGGTTGTATCGATTGGAACAAAATTGTGGCTAGACAAAACTAAACTTGTTTTCAATAACTGTGAAATCAGTTATAGAAAAATATAGTTAAAAGTGTATAGTAAGCAGGCGCGGATCCAGCATTTTTTGATGTTAGAGCTAACTTTCTGATATGGAACAAACTCCAAAAATTTATGTTTGTACTTATGTCAAATAAGGATACTTGGTAAAAAATTGCAATGATTGGGGTCTGGGAAAAAAAAAACTAAAATTTTGTGCCCCAAACAAGAGAGTAACAAGTTGATAAAATATTTTTTGTGCTATTCTTAAATAAATTTATATTCACCAATAATTTCTAAATTTCATGAAAAAATCTCAAAGCGTTCAAAAAATATGACCTTATAAAATTTGTAACCCCCTCAAATTGAAAGGGTTCAAACTTCGTATAGTCATAGTTTTTGAGCACTAAAAAAATATTGTATTCCAATCATTGCAATTTTTTGCAAAACATCCTTATTCGACATAAGTATGAACATATAAATTTTTGGAGTTAGTTTAAAAAATGCTGAATCTGCATCTGAGTAAGGTTGTCTGTTTGTATTAATTAAATCATAAATGTTTATATACTTAAAGATTAAATATTTTTTAACCATCTTTAGTTAAAAAATATTTAATCCTTAAGTGATCTAATTTTCGCAAATCTCCCCCTCTAAAATTTGTATTTATATGTAAAAAAATATGTTTTTTTCATACTTTGAAGCTCTATATTTTAAAAACAAAATTTCAGAAAGCCTTCTAGTCTTTTTTTTTTATTGTATACTCTAGACTTACTTTAATAAAATTTTGGCATTGAATTTTTAAATATCATATTTTATCCATAATGGCTACCTAAAAAACCTAAAAAATCATTTGTATGCATAAAAAGTTGATTTTTGATGGGTGAATATTTAAATTCTACCATTTAAGAATTGAAAAGACATAATTTTTCAGTTTCAATTGATGGTAAGCTTCAAAATTTTTAGAAATTTATTGATAAGATACAGTTCAGTAAAAAATTATGAACTCCTAAAAATGGCTCTGGCTAAAACTTAAGAAATTTGCATTTACTTCAAACCACCGATAACCTAAGTTCAACATTGTTTTTAATAAGATTTTTTTTTTTCTACTGATTTAATAAACTTTATTACAGTGATTTCAGAAAAATAAATAGTGGGTACTCATGGGGAAGTTACAAAATTAGAACAATAAAATTTGCACAAAATGCATAAAAAACAATAAAAATAGAGTTATTGATGTACTTAAGTTTATATATTGTAATACAAAGTATATATGTAAAAGTATTTCATAATCGGTACTAGAAATAAGTCTTAAATTAAACGTTTTGTGAACTTAGACCATAATGGTGTATTTATATTGTAGGTACTTTAGGTCTCCACTCAGTATCATACTCACAAACACATATGTGTTTGTGAATACCATAAGAATGCAAAACTTTTTGCACTAAAAATACAAGATATTTCAGACTATAAAGACCTCTTGACATTAGTTGTACGTGATTTATCAAATTGACACTGCAGCCTGCACAGTTGAGATAACTGCCTAAATACCAACACACTAAAAGAGTATCTTGATATTTTGATGATGGTGCAGATTCACAATAAAAAAATTATAAAAACATATCTAACTAATGTCGCCATGAACCAGATCATAAAGTATCAGCATAATGGTATTTTTTTGCTACATCACATGGAAAGAGTGGTTGTGATGGCATTGGGAGCTTTGTCAAAGGTCTTGTACCAAAGGCCAGTTTGCAATCACTAACAGATCCTATCAACTTAAGAAAATATACTCATGTAAATGTTTATACAATACAGCATAGGCTTTTCTTTGACCAGGAATTAATATAGCATGTGTTTGTAATGCAAAATGGTTGATAGGCAATATTGTGGAAATATCTCTTTTCAAGTTTATGAAGCAGTCTATTTCTTTAAACACTTTTACTTGGCCACATAAAGAAGATATTTGCTGGGTTCTAATAACGCACATTTTATGCAAAATTTCATCTTTAAGAATTCAATCAACAACTAGCCGATGCTATGAACTATCATCTCAAGAAAAAACTGAAATATCACATTTGTACAATAGCATAAATAACTTATTTAAATAACAACATAGCAAAATTATTATAAATTTGATACATTTGTGTTAAACTTTTAAAGTTTTTATGCAAAAATTGATTTTAAAGCATATTTATTTTAAAGGTTTGATGTTTATATTGATTTTTTATTACATAATAATAATTTTTATTACAAATAATATTTTTATTACATAATCAACATGTGCATAAGTTAAGTAACTATTATATCTTGGTATTAGCTTTGGTTTAGTTGTAATCTAAATTTAAACATGATAATCAAATAAAAGTCAAATAAATGGGGTTACCGTTAGTTACCGGTGGTTTGAAGTAAAGGGACAAGTTTTAGCCATTTTTAGGAGTTTATAATTTTTGACTGAATTGTATCTTATTAATAAACTTCTAAAAATTTTGAAGCTTACCATTACCAAAGAAACTAAAAAATTACCATTACCTAAGAAACTTAAAAATTAAATTAACCTTTCACTTCTTAAACTGCAGATTTTGTATATTGACTCATCAAAAATCAACTTTTTTTGCAAATGATTTTTTAGGTTTTTTAGGTAGACATTATGGATAAAATTTGACATTTAACAACTCAATGTCAAAGTTTTATTAAAGTAAGTCAAGAGTTGTATACAATAAAAAAAACTAGCAGACTTTCTAAAATTTTGTTTTATAAATATAGAGCTCAAAGTACAAACAACACATGTTTTTGCTGCTAAAGTTTTTGTTTTTCAAAAAATCAGAAATTTCAAATAATATCTCAGGAACCACAAAAGATTTTAAGCTGATATTTTTAGGAATTTCTTTTCTCATTGATATAAACCAACACATTAAGTTACATCAAAATCTGAGGTGGTCTATGTTGAAATCTTAAAATTTTGGTCCATTTGGCATGGAATGACCCACATATTATATGCCAGTATTTAATAAATAGTAAATATATGCATGAATTTATAATTTATATTAAATATTTTTCTAGCATTTTAAATATATTTTTTTTAGTATTTTAAATGGAATTGCAAAGTTTGTTGATGGTGGTAATAGTTGCAATTCACAACATAAGGTAATATAAAATGTTTAAAGAAACATTAATTACAATATGAAACACAAATTTTGTATTTATATTCAAATGTTATATTTCAATTGCATATGTTTAAAAACTGAAAAAAAAAGACTATAGCATAAAAATATATATAAAAATAGCACAAAAATTGATTTTATGATCATAACTCTTTTGTTGTGATCATAAAATCAATGTTTTGAAAAATTTTTTATAGACAGATATAAAATTTCATACATTTGTTTATTCAGTCTGGTAAAAAACAACATCTTGAATAGACAAAGACAGTAAAATTGAATAGACAAAGGCAGTAAAAAATTACTCCAAAAGCTTCAAAAATCAGTTTTCTATACTCAAGACTATTATCACTTTCATAAAATAGCCTTAAAGTATATTTCCCATCATGTATTTTGCTACGCTGTTCTTGGTGACGGTCTTCGGGTCCAATGTATCTCGGTAGAGACATTTTCTCCTTTATGTAAGCTTCCATATTCTCCTTGAATTTATGGAGATGAGAATCAAGAGTTTGGGTTTTTGGGTTGGTACCCATCTTGGTGCAACTTGATCTTAGATGTCTGTAAGTTTGTTCAATCATTCGTTCAATCATTACAGCTTTTTCTCTTCCTAAACGATTTCTAATTTTGTTCCAAATGCCAAAATAATGCCAAAAGAATGCCATCATAAAAATAATGTCAAAAGATGGGAAAAGTCTTTCAATGGATCAAGTACTAGCTGAACAAGTGTGCAACTGCCATAAAAATGTGGTAGTGGTGTAGTGGTAGAGCGCTCGCTTCATAAGCGAGATGTTCCAAATTCAATCCCCACCACGTCCCTGGTAGTACCGCGCTCAACTTGTTTCTCCGCGCAGCGGCCTTGTTTGTCAAGGTTTGTGTTTTGGAGTTATAGAGTTGAGAGAGGGTTATAACCACAAATAAGTAGCCTCCTCGTCTGTAGCCTCCTCGTCTGTAGTGGCCTTCTGGGCCTTGAGAAGGTGAATTAACAATAAAAAGAAAAAAATCTTGCAAAATTTGTAATTTGGAGACTTTTTTCATTTCTATAATTCTCCACCAATTTGTTGCTGATGTTGTGCTTTTTACACTATCATTAAATAAATGTTGGGAAACTATTAGCATCTTTTAGTTTAAATGCATAGTAGGCTGGGATTAATTCAGGACAGATTTATTCAACCAGTCCTCCGCTTCTTCTTCTTGACCAATCAATACCAATACCAATCCAATGTTCTTCCTAAGTAAATAAGTAAAGTTATAAGAGTAGTAAACTTGAATGAAAATTTCACATCTGTTTTTATTTAAATTTGATCAGATGCAATTTTTAATTATTTTTTACAACTGTTTAGTTAACTTCATATTTTGGATCTGTTAAATTGGCCAAAAAAATAACATAGAGCAATTGCTTTCTTAAACCTCTTTGAAATTCAGCCTTGTACAAAGCCAATTTTTCATTATGTATGAAGCTTTGCCAAATCTGAACTGCCTCAGACAAAGTTATATCGTCTGCCTACAACTACAAACTACAACAAACACAATAATTTAGTTAGTAATATGTAAATAAAGTTGATGGCATGGTGCCATGAATGGTGGCATGGTGCCAGAAATAAGTAGTTTTAAAAAAATGATGTAAGTAGTTTTAAAAAAATCTGATGGCATGGTGCCAGAAATAAGTAGTCTTAATATACTTATTATAATTAAATTTAATACATCAAGTTACTAACTAATTTTATTAACCTTATCTAACACAATACCAACAATATTCAGTTTTGTGTGTAAATTTATTTATTCTCTCTGAATTGACAGTTTATCAATGAACTCCATATGCTCACCTTTAATATCAATGTACAGAGAATGATTAGAAATGTATGTCTTTAAACAATCTAATTGGAGTTCCAGCGAGTAACATTGAGTAGCTGTGGCATCAGTCCTCCTTTTTTCAATACCATCCCTATAATACAGTTGTTTAACAAAATTTAACAAATAGATATTAAAAAATAATTTCTAGGATCACTTTTGCCATAATTATTATTTAGGCCTATATCATTAACACAGCTGTTTTATTTCATAGTATTGTATTACAGAATAAGTTAATAACAATCTAGAACTTAGTACATACGTGTAGTTAGTGATGATTATAAAAATTTTTATGAATTGCTATAATATCCTTACTATAGACTTTGGAGAGACAGCCTTACTATAAACTTTGGAGAAGTTTTCTATCAAATTTAAAAAATGAGCAGAGCAACCATATGTTATCAACTTAAAGGATTCAGCCTGCAAAAGTTTTTTCATTTTAGACATTTTATTTTCGCTGTCAGTACATTCTGCAAATACTAAATAAATAGAAAATAATATATATATATATATATATATATATATATATATATATATATATATATATATATATAAAATATATATATATATATATATATATATATATATATATATATATATATATATATATATATATATATATATATATATATATATATATATATATATACTGTAATATTTTGTATCATAAATACATTAGAAAACTCATTTTTCTGATGTTTATTCAAGCATCGACATTTTTAAAAAAATTGATAAAAAAAATTTGCATTTGACGAAAAATTCAACTCTACTTTAATATACTATTTAGATCTTTATTTATTATTTTATAAATATTATTCTATGTTGTGTTTTTTCTTATTTTCATATTTAAAAAATTTCCATTGTTACTCTTCTTCTTTGTAAAACATTTTTTCAAGTTAAAAAACCGCACTAAGCTAGTTCGGTTGAAAGCGCAAGTAATTATAAGAAAAGAAATTTGGATTTAAAATTAGAATAAGTTCGATACTTTTAAAATTATATTTGTGTTACATTATTCAAATTTAATCGAACAACTTTTTGTTACTGTTTGTTAAAAAAGATTTAATTTAAGTTTTAAATAAGTTTTTAATAATACATCTATTATTTTTATGTTGTATTTTAGATACTAAGTTGAAAATGCAACTATAAAAATATCAAATATTAAAAAGTACATTATTTTACTTTTTTAAAAGTTTGTTGCAGTACCCGGCACCGGGTATCTTCAAATTGATTTTTCCTTTAGTTTAAACTTTAACCATTAAACTTCTTGATATAAGTCTAAGAGTGTTATGTAGTCGATAACCACAAAGTTCTATTAACTTAAAACAATCTCACTTAAAATATTTTTTAATACATTTCTGCAAAAAAATTTATACGGATACAAAAACTGTAACGCTAAATGAAATAATTCGAGAATACGAATAAAAAGAATTGGAAAAAAAGTTTTAAAATAGCTTCTTTTTATTCTGTTAGAACACAAGATAATTTTGCCAAGTTTTTATTCCAACTTTTAAAAAATGGACTCGGTGCCGAGTACCCGGACTCGGACCCGGTTTTTTCAGACGGGTACCCGGAATCGGAGACTCGGCATAAACTGGTTCCGGCACATCTCTAATATATATATATATATATATATATATATATATATATTTATATATATATATTTATATATATATATATTTAAATATATATATATATTTAAAGATATATATATATATTATATATATATATATATATATATATATATATATATATATATATATATATATATATATATATATATATATATATATTTATATATATATATATATATATATATATATATATATTTATATATATATATCCTATTAGTTTATATATTGATTAGTTATAATCAATAAATAAGCAATTTTTTTTTATAGGAAACAGCAAATAAAATTATGCACTGTATTAAAAATAGAATTGTTGTACTATCTGTAAGTCTACATTTGTATTAAATACTTTTTTTCTAAAATTTAATTTAAAGTAAAATTATTGCAGCATAATACAACCAGCAGACCTTCTGTTTAGAAAAGCAATGAACAAGAGTGGCCGTCATTAGAAGAGATTTTGAAACTAAAACCAGGTAGGTTTAACTGAATCTAAATATCCTTTGTTTTAAAATGGGTTTATTATAAAAAAAGTCTATTAAGTTACTATAGTCAAATATTGAGGAAGGAGGAGTTTAAATAGTTAACAGGGATTGTGTCAAATACATATTTGCATTTGTATTTACTAATAATAGGTTATGTCATATTTGATTTGTATTTGATTTGAATTCAAATTTTTTTAAATATTTGTGTTTGATTGAAATAAAATGGCAGTTTTTAAACTTCTTTTGGGCCAAGAGATTCATTGTTTTTTTGTTGTAACAAGTAATATTTTTCATTTTTAATACTAAAATAATTTAAATTTCAAATTGTTTGTAAGTTATATTTTTTAAAAGGCTTGTTTTAATTATTTTGCAATATATGATTTTATCTATTATTATCTTACAAGTTTTTTAGTTATTAGTTGTTTGTCAAGTAGTTTCAGTAATTGTTTTTTAGTTACTTTATATCAAACAAAATAAAAATACAAAATGAAATAAAAAAAACCTTTAAATGAACATTTTTAAGATACAGCAACAATTTAAGTAACAGAGACAAGAAACTTTTTTGTTGATGTTTTTTTAATTAACAAAGAGTTTTTTTAAGTTACAAAGAGTTTTTTTTGTTGTTGTTGTTTTAAGTAACAGAGAGTCTCGGCACTTGAGGATCCTTTTAAAAAAACAATTATTTGTTTAAAGTAGTTGTTTATAAAATTGATAAAAAAATTTTATTTTAAAATAAAAAGCTAATATTCATTAATTTTTTTCAACATAAATTTTTGTTAACATAAGTGTGTTTGTTGTTGTTTTTAAGTGTAACTTAAATGATTCTTATATAACGTTCATTAAAATGATTTTTGTGTTCTAAAAAAGTTTATAAAATCAAAATAAGTTTATTTTAAAAAAAACTTTTCTTTATTATAAAAACACATACTTGTTTTTATAATAAAGAAAACATGAATAAAAAGAACTTTCATTGATACTAGAAAAAAAATCATTTTCAGCAGTTTTTAACTTTATTTAAAAGTATTTTGCTAATATAAAAACATTTGCTAAGATAAAATTTGATGTTTTTTATTTTAAACATAAAATTAAAACAAAATTTATTTAGCGCGCTTTTTATATGTTAACAGCCTGTTCAAATGGTCCAAACAAATTATTGTTTGTGTGATCATATAAAGATGTGCAATTCCGTGCCTTCCTGATCAAGACTGCTATTGGTCTTTTAAATTCCTTGTTGGTCATTATTGCACTTACATTTTGTAATGAATCAAAACAGCTCTGTAAAATGAGGCTTAGATAACTATGTGCAACTTCAGTAAGTTAAGCATTTAATTCAGTCTTGGACATGCAAAAAAAGAAAAAAATTAAAAACTAAATGCAAAATATTTAAACTTTCTGGGTATCGTGAATGATTGTGTTTACTTGATTTTCCATTCATAGAGTGAATAGAAACATCAATCATGCATGGAGTGATTAGAAAAGCTTACATATGCTGTATAAAGTTTAATTTGTAGTTTAAATATTTGAAAGTTGAATATTTTTACATTCTATTATATACATTATATATTTCATTATGTGATATATATAATCAGTACCTTGTTATATGTATATATTATATATTTTTAATGTTTATATTTTGTATTATTATAAAAAACTACCCTACCCCTTTTAATCCCAGTTGCAAATTTGGTTGTGTAGAAAAAAACAACTTTTTCCTGAGCTCAAAGCAAACTTTGAGTTTTAAACACAGGAAATGTTTGTTGTAAATTTCTGGTTTAATTTAAAGAAAGAAAGTATTAAGAAAGATGTATTAAGAAAGTATTAAATAAAAAGGAGGAAGTATCATATAAAAGGTATGAAGTATCAAATAAAAGAGAGGAATTATCAGATAACATCAATATTAGTAGGAAACTTAATGGTTGATAAGGTGCTATGTGGATTTTCTAGTAGGTAAAACTTTAGGGGTTGTAACTTATAAGGTTTATGTTTTTTTTATTTGATTTTTATTGTTATCTTATTTCCAATTCTATCATTTAATGTATTTTACCAAAGCTATTTGGCTAATAAAGTAATTTGATATTTGATTACATACATCAATTTGTTTATTTTTTAAATTTTAAAGCTTTATATCTGATTTAATTAGTGAAATAAACAGCCAGATTTATGACATTTAATATGGTATCTAAAAATAAATTTATATAAATTTGTCTAAAATGTGCACAAGTTAAAATGTTTCTAAAAAAAATTTAAGTTAAAATTAAATAATTTTATCATTTAAAAAAAATAAAAAACTTTTATAAATAAAAATTTTTATAATATAAAATAGTATAAAGTTTTTTTAATGTTGTTTGTTTTAGTGCTAAGCAACTTCTATAAATGGAAAAAAGTTTTCCCTGTATTAATAATTACTGAAAATGCCCCTGAAACAAACAGGTAGTTTTTTTTTTCATTTTTAATCATAAGCTTTTTTTTTTTTGATGTACTGTTTTAGTACCCGTCTTCCATGATTTCATTTTATTAAATGAATTTTTAGCCATTTTCCCTCCTTTCATTTCATTAAATGTTTTAGTACCCATGTCCTTGCTTTCATTAAATGTTTTTGTTTATCTCACGTGATTTTATTTCATTAAATGTTTTGGTACCCATCTGACCTGTTTTCATTAAATGAAACATCTTACATATTCAGTATACTTTTTTAATATTCAGAATACAGTTATATTTTTTATCCAGTTATTAATAGAGATGCCATGAATATACAGTTTTGCTGAATATTGCAAACTATTCGGCCAAATACCGAATACTGAAACATGACCAAAATTGCCTTAAAAATAGATTATATCACTATATATTACAATAAGTAATATAATAAATAGAATAAACAAATTATAAATATATTATATATAAGATTCTATTAATCACAATTCTAATAATCAAATTGTTAATATATTATATATAAGATTCTATTAATCACCAAAATTTTTTTTAAAACAAGTTTAATACTCAGTGGTAAATTATGATGAGTAAAAATAATTTTCTCTGCATTTGTTGATAACAAACGATTCAGGATTTTCTCGTAAATTATACCTGCTTCCTAAAATAACCGCTCACTATACTCACTACCACCTGGGGAGGATAAATAATTCATAACAAATTCTGCTAGACCTGGATATTGTTTTGGAGATAACCAGCACTTGTAAGGGTCTCTTTTCTGATCTAGGCACACAGTTTTCATGAATAAATCAATTTCGCTTGCTGTTGAACTTTTCTGTTTAATATCTTTATCTGTGTGCGTGTTTTCTGTAGCGACTTCCTCAAAATATTTCCAGAAACTATGTGTCTCAATTGTTTTATCATTTTCATTGACATTTTTTTTTTTGCGAAGTGAAGATGAATCATTATCAGTAAAGCTTACTAAAAGCTTTTATTAAGCTAGAAGCTTACTAAAGGCTACTAAAAACTACTAGAAGCTTTAAAACCTTTTTTCAGAGCTTTAAAAAGAATTTTTTTGTTTTTGTTTTTGTGTTTTTATTATACCCAAGAAATTAGTTTTTAAGCGCGGGTCAAGAAAAGTTACAACCAGTTATTTTTCATCATTAAAGTTGAAATGCTCTTCAAGTTCAAACTAAAGCTGTACAACAAGACAGTTCGCTTTTGCTTTAATAATTGTTCCAATAACTAGTATGTTAAATTCCAGCATGTGCTTATTTCTTGTATTAATTGGTGGTCTGGCAGTTTAATTTCTTGATGAATCCATTTAAGTTTTTCTTGCAATACTAAAGTAGTTAAAGTTACTGATGGTATCTTAGAGTTAGTAAAAATAAAAGAACTCTCACTTTTGCTCCCTCTTTCTGGCGAAGTTCCAGTTAACTTTGTCAGAATGCTTGTTTTGAAGGTATTTTTCAGAGAATTTGTTGTTGGAAACAAAAAAGAGTACTTAAAGTACCTACTGAGTAAATATGAATAAACTATGAATAAAAAATGTATGAGCGTAAATAATTGGTTTTGTTAAAACATATAATTAGTAATAATATACATGATAGTTTTCCTTCTCTTCCTTCTCTGTTTCTCTTCCTTCTCTGCTTCTCTTCCTTCTCTTCCTTCTCTGCTTCTCTTCCTTTTCTGCTTCTCTTCCTTCTCTTCCTTCTCTGCTTCTCTTCCTTCTCTGAGTTCTTGCTTTTACACAGCAAACAAACTGGTAGTTTATTGACTTCCTACAAATTTCAGAATATTTCCAAATAGGTTATTTATTATTAAAAGATGCAATTTTTAAAGCTTTTTGCAAACAAAAATTTTAAATAACAAAACTTTTGTTACTGATTGCAGTTTATTGCAAGCAAAACAACAATCGAATACGAATTCTTTTATGTTTACTAAATTGACTTTTCAACTTAAATAGTATTTAAAGGATAATTATTTGTTAATGTATTTATACGGTTTTAATAGCAATATTTGAGGTTTGTAATTTAAAATAAATTATCAAATTTGCAAATAGATGAATTGAATTTAGTAAATTCAATTCAATTATTTACAAATTCTAGTGACAATTTATATTATAAATACATTAACAATTAATATAAATGCAAATAACACAATTGCCTCCAAAAGCTCTAAAGCTTTCACTATAGAATTACAATTATTGTGTATAATTACAATTATTGTATATCTGGCGTTAAGGCCCTCAACTTTTGCCTTTCTCAATCTCTAACTCAAATAGTCAACTTTCCAACTCGTTTTCCAGACAACCCTAATCATTTACCTTCTCTACTCGACTTATGTCTTGTTTTGGATCCTAGTCAGTGCTCAATTTCTCCACATTCACCCTTAGGTACTTCTGATCACGGTTTGATCTCTCTAAAACTATTATCAAATTCTTCTACTTCATCAGAATCCCCCTATCATCGTACCACATACAACTACCTTAAAGCTGACTGGGACTCTTTCCGTGATTTTCTTCGTGATGGCCCTTGGGTAGAAATCTTTCGTCTTCCTGCTGACAAATGTGCTTCTTACATAACTTCGTGGATTCAGGCTGGCATGGAATCTTTTATTCCCTCTCGACGATTCCAGGTCAAGCCTCACTCTTCTCCTTGGTTTTCCTCACATTGCGCTGCAGCAATTTCTAATCGAAACCGTTACTTCCATATCTATCAGCAAAACAATTCTCCAGAAAACAGACATCTGTTCACTATCGCCAGAAACCATTGTAAAAAGGTTTTGTCTGACGCCAAAGCTCGCTATTCCCAGGTCATTAAATCTCGTATCTCATCACAAAAATTAGGCTCTCGAGACTTCTGGAGAATCTTTAACAGTATCAATAATAAGGGCAAATCTGTTATTCCTTCTCTCTTGTATGGTTCAGACTTTGTCACCTCACCTAAAGACAAAGCTGAATTGTTTGCTAAGAACTTTTCATCAATATCATCTCTTGATTCCACTAGTTGCGTTTTACCTGACATAGCCGTCAAACAGGTTGATCCTTTGCTTGACATTCGCATCACTTCAGCTTCTGTATCTAAAGTAATTTCCTGCTTAGACTCTTCAACAGCTTGTGGTCCTGACAACATTCCTGTTGTAGTTTTGCAGAGGTGTTCTCCGGAGCTTTCATCCATACTTTCTAAACTATTTAACAAGTGCTTATCAGAGTCTTGTTTTCCATCATGCTGGAAAGCAGCATCTGTTATCCCTATTTTCAAAAATTCCGGAGAGCGATCTGATTCATCTAACTACCGTCCCATTAGTCTTCTTCCTGTCATAAGCAAGGTTTTTGAATCTTTAATCAACAAACACTTAATCTCTCATCTTGAATCAAATAACTTACTTTCTGATCATCAATATGGATTTCGGTCTTCTCGTTCTACAGCTGATGTGCTAACAGTAATAACCGATAGGTTTTACCGTGCATTAGATAGAGGTGGAGAGGTTAAGGCTATCGCACTTGACATTTCTAAAGCTTTTGATAAAGTTTGGCATGCTGGTCTTCTCCATAAGCTTTCTTCTTATGGTGTAGCTGGTAACGTCTTTAAGATTATTGAGTCCTTTCTTTCCAATCGTAGTATAAAAGTTGTCCTCGATGGACAACACTCTTCTTCACATCCTGTAACTTCAGGGGTTCCTCAAGGTTCAATCCTTGGCCCTATACTCTTTTTAATTTACATTAACGATCTTCCAGATATTCTCACATCTAAGGTGGCATTATTCGCTGACGACACTACCATTTACTCTTGTCATGATAAGAAGCCTACACTCTCTGATTGCTTGGAGGGGGTATCTGAGCTTGAAAAGGATCTCACTTCTGCTACAGCATGGGGCTCACAGTGGCTGGTGAACTTTAATTCAGATAAAACTCAATTTTATTCGGCCAATCGTTATCGTAATAATTTAGATCTTCCTATATTTATGAATGGTAATGTACTAGATGAGTCATCTACCATTCATCTTCTAGGATTAACTCTTACTTCTGATCTTTCTTTTAAACCGTATATCAAATCCATTGCAAAATTAGCATCTGCTAAGGTTGCATCTCTTTATCGAGCTCGACACTTTCTTACTCCAGATTCTATTCTCTATCTCTATAAATCTCAAATCCGTCCCTGTATGGAATACTGTTGCCACATCTGGGACGGATCTTCTAATGATGCTCTTTCTCTTTTAGACAAGGTGCAAAAACGAATTGTAAACATAGTTGGACCTGCTCTTGCAGCCAATCTCCAACCTTTGTCACATCGTCGTAATGTTGCTTCTCTTTCTCTTTTCTACAAATACTATAATGGGCACTGCTCTAAAGAGCTAGCGTCCCTTGTGCCATCTACTAAAATTCATTCTCGTGTTACTCGCCATTCAATTAAGTCTCATCCTTTTTCTGTGACTGTTCCTAAGTGCTTCAAAAACTCTTATTCTTCTAGTTTTTTTCCTCGAACATCAGTTCTTTGGAATTCGCTTCCTTCATCTTGCTTTCCTGATTCATATAATTTGCAATCTTTTAAGTCATCAGTCAATCGTTATCTTGCTCTACAGATTTAGTCTTTTCTCTTCCAGTAACTTCCAACTCTTATAGTGGTTGCTTGCAGCCTTGTTGGAAGTGAAGATGTTAAAAAAAAAAAAAAAAAAAAAAAAAAAAAAAAAAATATATATCTTACGAAACAAGTTTTAAGAATTATAATCTATAAGGAACATAATTTGATCTAATATATCAATAAAAAACATGCTCAAACCCGCAAATAAAACAAATACGCAAATTTACCTGTAGTGTAATTAAGGTATTCACTTTATTAATGCAGGTTGAAAATTGTCACTTGAAAAATCTTCTAAGTGTTACCAAATATTTGGCTATTCCGTGAAGATCATGTCGTATATTCTGTATTCAGCAAAATCACTTTCATGGCATCTCTAATTAATTTCAACTAATATTTACGTCAATTAGTTTTTATTTATGTTATTGTATATTTTTATAAGGTAGTTATATTTTTTCCCAATTAGTTTAATTATCTTAAGCTATCTCACTTTACCTTATATTAATTTGTCTTGTTAACTGATTTATATGACTTTGTTTAGTGTAGCTAGTATTGAATTTGAACCAATGAAAGAGCTGCAACCTCCATTAGAAAAAAACAGTTTGTATCGAAGATTTGCTTTTGACCTTCAAAGAATTGGTTTAAAATATCCAAGATGTTTATTAAATCCTTTTTTATCAATATCATTAAGAGGCAATTATACTTAACTAAAAAATTTTTAAAAAGTTCTTTTTTTTATCAATATTATTATAAGGTAATAAAAATATCTTATAAGATTAATATCTTGTATTAATAATTATACTAATATATTATAATTATTAGTTTTATATTAGATATTATAGTTTTTATAAAACTCCTAATATTATAATATCTTAAACGGTCTTATAATCTTAAGTTTTATATTAGATATTATAGTTTTTATAAAACTCCTAATATTATAATATCTTAAACGGTCTTATAATCTTATATTAATAAGGTCTTAATATTACACTTATAAGAGGTACCACATAATAATATTCCTATCAGTACTATTAAGTTGTGCAGCTTTATAATATTATATTATATAATAACCTATATTAAAATACGTAGGGCGTAGGTATTTATACATAATTACAACAATATTAAAAAATTACAAAGTTATTATTTACTATTATTTGATTTTTTCTTTTAATTGAAGCCTGAATAAAAATAAAAGTACTAGTTCAAAAAAAAAAATTAGCAAAATAATAATGAACAGTCAACAACTGCTTGAAAAACTAAATATGCTATTACAAGACCTTACAAGATAATTCTTGCCAGTTATGGATAACCAGTTGGAAAAAAAAAAAAAATTTAAACAAGGTTTGACAAATATTGGAATCAGAATGGAATTCGTAAAATGCATAAATGATTAAAGTTCTTATTTTATTATTTTAATAAAAATATTTAATATATTATTTTAATAATAATAAAATGATGTATAATAATTGTTCTATTTAGAACATTTTTTCTTTAAACTGTTTGTTTTTTACTTTATTTTTTTTTTTTTTTCTAATATTAGTTTCTAGTAAGTTTTTGCAGCAAATTGCAATAAATGAAAGAAAGATTTATTATTATATATCCAAGGATTTGAAATGGGAAAGACAAGCAAGGCTTCCAGTAAAGCAAACAATATGCTAGCAATATTAAATAATACTTTTAGGTATAAAGATATCTCATGAAAATGCTTTATTGTATGTACGTTAGATCTCATTTGCTTAGAATCCCTTTTATAAAAAAGATATCAAAGAACTTAAAAAAGTTCAAGGAAGAGCAACTAAATTGATAACAGAATTAAGACATGATATAATCAAAGACTAAAAATATTAGATTTAACAACTATAGAAGTTTGAAGACTAAGAGGTGACCTTATACAACAATATAAATTATATAAAGGTTTTGAATCTATTGGTATCAAGAAAGTCTATATACAAATGCATTTAATCGATACACCAGGTCCAGCATCCAATATTAGAGGTTACATCGTGTTAAATCAGAGTTTGTTAAAAATTGTTTAAGTAGAAAACACTTTACAAACAGGGTTGTCTTATAATATAGATAACACTTTACAAACAGGGTTGTCTAATAATAAGCAAGTGGAATATACATCAGTTAAATAGTTTAAATCAAGACTTAAACTTACAGATAATATTGAACAAGAAAAACATGTTACAGTTAAATTTTTAGACAACTATTGTGTTGGCTGTCATAGATATTGCCTGGCGCTCTATCTTAGCAGCATTTGAGTTATATGAATTATATACTTATAGATAAATTTAAAATTATTACTTCCTATTTTTCTTTAAAAATAAATATATATTTAGTAAAAATCTTGTTTTATGTAACATTAGTAATTTTTATAGCAGTGTTTTATAAAGCTGTTGTTATTAAATACTTAATTTAAATAGCTGCGCACGAGACCTGCGCACGAGGGGGTTGTTAACATTATTGTTAAATAATTAAAACTAACAGTTTTTAAAATGATAATGAGATATAAAATAATTTTTCTTTGAAATTGTTAACTTTAAAGATTGAAGTTTTTATTTTGTTATTATTTGTATTTGTTGTGCGTAACTAAAAACATTTTCCCTTCAGCTACTTTTTTTTTTTTTTTTTCATTCAATCGTTTCATATTTTTTGTCTGGTAGTTTTTCCCACCATTTGCAAAATCATTGAAAGATAATAAGAATAAATAAAAAAATTTTTTTCAACATATTGAAAAATCTAAACTTGATTTTAAGATCTTGCTTGTTAATGGCAAAGCTTTTATTCACATTAAAAATCAACTTTTCAATCAACTTCATTTTAAATCATTCATTTCTTCATTGTGCATACTAGTTATGTTTTCTACATAACACCTTAAACCTTAAACTTGAGCCTGAGGTTGTTTTATTTTTACTATAATCTTATAAACCTTTAGGAATTTTAAAACATTTGGTATACACCCTGCTCCCAGGCTGGCTAACACCCTGCTGGCATAAGTGCACCAAAAGAAAATGCCAATCTTCGCAAGTTCTTTTATCACACTTATGTCAGTTTTTGCAAATAATTTGCACTTATGCGATTTTGTGCAGAAAATAATCTGATTATTTTTAGTGAAGCACCAGCCCACACAGCAGTTCAGAATTTATTTTTTATGTCTGAAAATCTAAAGCTTCAACTCTATATATTTTTTTACTTTTATTTTTGATATATAGGTCCTTCACTATAATTAATTCCTTGTGGGTTTAATTAATGTATCCATTTATTAATGGGCTTAAATTTAATTAATAGCTACAACTTATATAAAAATAAAAAACTTTTTTTAAAATGTAATAATGAATTCTTTATAAATACATTCCTTCTCTCAAAATTTCCATGATATTAGTTGTACAGTGTTAACAACAATTATTTATTGAATTAATCCTTATAGGAATTTATTTACATGCATTAGCCAATCCCATAATATTTTTTCGACAATCAATTTTATGCAGAGTGATTTTTATGATTTTTGACTAAATTTAGGGCAATTTCTAAGTATTGGGGCGAATAGATCCTCATGTCAAATCCAGTTAATTTGATGAACGATGTTTTTTTTATGTGTTCCTGTACCAAAAAAAACACTGTGCTCATTAATTTAAGAAATATGTTGTGCCTAATCTACACTGATTACGATAGATAAGTTAATACTTTGGCAACTGTCAAGTGATTTTTGTTGATCTTTAGGCTTTTTTCTAGTCATACAACAAACTTTATGTTTTTTGCCTTATTTTTTTATCAAATGATGTTTTTTTTTCAAAATACTGTTACTAGAGCCTTGGATCAAAGAAATAAAAATCCAAAATGGTTTCCTTGAAAGATTGGGTAAAGGACTTTGAATCTTTTGTTGTAAACTAAACTAGATCAAAACTTATCAATGTGATTCCAAAATATATATTCACATTTTTTTTGTGCTCTTAGAAGACCTAATAGTTGCATCACAGAGCACCACAGAAAAGCATTTAACTTGGAAGTCTATGCTTCAAAGTTTAGCATCTGGAATGTCCATCATTTGAGAAATACAAAGTCGAACAAAAAGTTCGACTTTCATTTTATCAAACAAAAGCTTAGAGTAGGCATCTACCCACAGATCAGTGAAGGATCCAGCATTTTTTGGTATTTGAAACAGACATAGCGCAATCTCAAAACATTTTTATGTCAAATAATGATGCTTTGCAAAATATTGCGATGATTGGAGGCTGGAAACTAAAAAAAACCCAAAATTTCATTTTCCCTGCCCCAAACTTGAGGGCAACAAATTGGTAAAATAATTTTTTTGAACTTCTTAACTTTGTTTATATTCATTGATAAATTTTAAGTTTTTCATAGTAATATCTCTCAGAGTTCATAAATTATTCCATTAATCCAATTAATCCATCAGCCAATATTGTTGTTGTCGGTGACTTTAATGTTCATCACACTGAATGGCTTGGCTCTAGTGTCAGTGACTCTGCAGGCATTAAGGCCCACAACTTTTGTCTTTCTCAATCCCTAACTCAAATAGTCAACTTTCCAACTCGCTTTCCAGACAACCCGAATCATTTACCTTCTCTACTCGACTTATGTCTTGTTTCTGTTCCTAGTCAGTGCTCAGTTTCTTCACACTCACCCTTAGGTGCGTCTGATCATGGTTTGGTCTCTCTAAAACTATTATCTCATTCTTCTTCACCATTAGAATCCCCCTATCAACGTACATCTTACAACTACCTTAAAGCTGACTGGGACTCTTTTCGTGACTTTCTTCCTGATGGCCCCTGAGTAGAAATCTTTTGTCTCTCTGTTGACAAATGTGCTTCTTACATAACTTCGTGGATTCAGGCTGGCATGGAATCCTTTATTCCCTCTCGACGATTCCAGGTCAAGCCTCACTCTTCTCCATGGTTTTCTTCACATTGTGCTGCTGCAATTGCCAATCGAAACCATTACTTCCATATCTATCAGCAAAACAATTCTCCAGAAAACAGACGTCTCTTTATTACTGCTAGGAACCATTGTAAAAAGGTTTTGTCTAACGCCAAAACCCGCTATTCTCAGATCATGAAATCTCGAATTTCATCACAAAAATTAGGCTCTCGTGACTTCTGGAGAATCTTTAATAGTATCAATAATAAGGGCAAGTCTGTAATTCGACCTCTTTTGTACGGTTCAGACTTTGTCACCTCACCTAAAGACAAAGCTGAATTGTTTGCCAAGAACTTTTCATCAATATCATCTCTTGATGCCACTAGTTGCATTTTACCTGATATACCCGTCAAACAGGTTGATCCATTGCTCGACATTCGTATCCCTCCAGCTTCTGTATCTAAAGTGATTTCCCACTTAGACTCTTCTACAGCTTGCGGCCCGGACAACATACCTGTTATAGTCTTGCAGAAGTGTTCTCCTGAGCTGTCGTCTATCTTTTCAAAACTATTCAACAACTGCTTATCAGAGTCTTGTTTTCCAGCCTGCTGGAAAGCAGCATCTGTTATTCCTATTTTTAAAAATTCTGGAGAGCGATCTGACTCATCTAACTACCGTCCCATTAGTCTTCTTCCTATCATAAGCAAGGTTTTCGAATCTTTAATTAACAAACACTTAATCTCTCATCTCGAATCTCATAACCTACTTTCTGATCATCAGTATGGATTTCGATCCTCTCGTTCTACGGCTGATTT